ATGTGTAAAAAACATCTGAATTTTAGAATAAATCAGCTTGTTGAGAAGACACAGGTCCCAGGGTCCAAGACTCTGTCACCGATCAAGTCTCTCTGCCCCAAAGCCAGTAGGTCCTCCGCTGAGCAAAGCAAACCTGAGTCCTGACAGTGCATCACCACACCCAGCTAGTCTTACATCTTGAATATAACTTCCCTGCCTCAGAACCACTTTATGTGTTACAACTTTTCTTGAATGTCTGCTCCAACCTGCCCCAACCCATACACTGTTTATTCCAATTGACTTAGTTCACAGCTTAAACATCACTTCTCCAGAAAGTCCCCTCAGATTCTCCCCCAGCAGCATGAAACAGTGTGCAAAGTATTTAACCAGCCCTTCACTGATGGACATTTGTTTCTGTTAGTTTTTCAACATAACCAGTAATGCACAAACTAACATTAACACATTCCTTTGTATGCTTGTATGCCAAGCTGGCCTTGAACATGCAAGTCTTGCTTCAGCCTCCAAGTGCTAGGATTACAGGTGTGTGCCACCATCTTCTGCTAAAGGTCTGTGTTTAACAAACAGTATAACAAAGTTCATTTCCTGATTTTGATCATGGAACTGTGGATGGTTATATAAGTTGTTACTATTATGGAAGGCTGGATGGATAGTGTGTGTGTGTGTGTGTGTGTGTGTGTGTGTGTGTGTGTGTAATATACTATTTTTGCAACTATTCTGTAAGTTTAAAATTATTTTGAAAGTAAAACAGAAAATGGTAACTACAGAGGTGATGGGTATGGTAATTAGTGCAATCATGGTGATCATTTCACAATGTACATGTATACCAAAACATCAACAGGTACACTTCTAAATATGAATTTCACATATTACTGATACCTTAAAAAATCAGTCAGAAACACTTAAGAATCAATCAATCAAAGAAAATATAAAATACATTAAAAATACAAATAGAGATACACGTGGTGGTTGGGAGGCTGAGGCAGGAAGACTGCTGAAGGTTAGAAGACAAACTATGTGCTCCTATGGCTCAGGCAACATCAAGGAAAAGGAGGTGGAAAGACTGTAAGAGCCAGAGGATCAGGACATCTGCTGGTAGATGGTGTCTTTTAGACACAACAGAAAAGCTACGCCCATGAAATCTCAACAATATGGTTGCCTAAATAAGGCAACAATGACAACACCAGTTGACAAAACAATGTGGATGGGGGAAATCTCACAAGGTGCCACATCTAAATGAATAGGCAATCAATGGCTGCTGAGAGAGGGAGAATCAGTTTTCTCCAGGGACTAGTTCCCAGATAGGTCATCCAACCCCAAGTGGTCAGCCCTAAACCCACGTATACATAACCACCATTAAATGGACTTAGTAGATTATATATACTTGTATAGGTACCTATATGTAACAATAAAAATTAAAGAGGTCATGAAATTGAGAGGGAGTTGAGGAGGAATATGGGAAAAGTTGGAGGGGAAAGAAGGAAAGATAGAAATGATGTAAATACATAACAATGTGGGTGGGGGAAATCTCACAAGGTGAGAATCAATCTCATAAAAATGATGTAAATACAGTATTTATGTATGAGATCCTTAAAAAATAAAATAAATTAGGGCTGGTGAAGGTTGTCACCTGAGTTCAAGCCCCAGGTTCCACATGGTGGAAAGAGAGAAGAGACTCTTGTAACTTGTCTTCTGACCTCTACAGACACCACAGCATGAGCCTCCCTCCCAAATCAATCAATCAATCAATCAATCAATCAATGTAATAAAAAATAATGTAGGGGCTGGAGAGATGGCTCAGTGGTTAAGAACACTGGTTGTTCTTGCAGAAGACCCTAGCACCCACATGGCAGCTAACACCTGTCTGTAACTCCAGTCCCAGAGGATCTGACAGCCTCTTCTGACCTCTGTGGGCAGTGCATGACACGGGTGCACTTACCTACATGCAGGCAATACTTGCATTCACATAAAATAAAAATAATAAATTAAAAAAAATTTAAATAATACTGTACAGATCAATGTAAAAAAATATATATATATAAACAAATCTTTAAAAAAGATGTCCCCCCTTCCCCCCAAAATACAAATCAGCTTTATCTGCAGAGTTGTTTTCAACAGAGGACATGAACAAACATATGCTACTGCTGCTGTTTCCCTGAATCCTTTTCAGAATTTCTGCTGGTATTGCACTGCTTTAAAACCATGTGCATTCACCAAAGGCTGAAATACTCTCCAAACAGTCTGCATTCTACTTCATGTATTCCGTGTATGAGGCATGGATTTTAGATTTTAATAAGTGGGGCTTGTATCATTTACCTGTGGGCAGCACTAATTGGACTCAATAGGTTATTAAAACAAAACTAAAAACAATCTGAAGGTAGGAGGGGCACATATGGGAGGGGTCATAGGAGGGGGAGTTGGGGATGGAGATGATCAAGATACACTGTATATATGTATGAAACTGTCAATTTTTTAAAGAGTGTGGTGGGGCAAGGGGGAGGCTGAAGAGACCATTTAGTGGTTAAGAGCAATTCCTGCTCTTCCAGAAGACCTAGGTTCAGTTCTCAGGACCCACATGGCGTCTAATCATTTTCTGTAACTCCAGTTCTAAGGGATCTGACTCTTCTGGCCTGTGCATTCACTGCATGCATGTGATACAGTTACATACATGCAGGCTGAACACTCATAAAAATAAACAAAAAACAAAAATATAAAAAAATCTTGAAAAAAAAGGGAAGTGGGGCTTGGTTGGAGGGGTCATAGGTCACTGGGGATATGCCCTCAGGAGGGACTATGAGACTTTTTCTCTGGCTTCCTGTTTTGAGGTGTGATCACCTCCACCTACCTGTGCTTTTCCTGTTGTGATGGGGCCTTACTAAATCTTACATTATGTGCTTTGAACTTTGTCTCCAAACCTGTTAAATCAATTATTTTTTTCTTTAAAAAGTTAGCCTGAATCAGGTATTTTGTTATAGTGAAAAGGACTAGCTATGCAAGGACTTTCAAGTTGTCAGCTTTACAGCTAACAATTGTATATTTCAAAAAAACACTGTTTAGGAGAGATTGTTAAATGTGTTATTAACCTTCATGTAGTCTTTTGAACCTCTAATACTGCGCTTTTCAATATAAGAGCATATTTCAGGTACTAATATATTTAAAAATAGTTTCACATTTATACCAAATGAGGCACAATAATTGACACAGAAACTTTGATAAAATTCTTAATTAATTATAATATTCATTTTTAACGCTTAAGTAAAACTTTCTTCATGATGTTAAGTGAACTGTATGTTACTTTCTTTGAGAATGTCCCTTTTTTCATTAAAATAGTTTCTAAACCACTCTATATGCTCCACCTTCTGTTTAACACTCAGATATGGGTTTTTAGAAAGTCCACAAGTCACCAGCTCCATGAAGTGGCGAATGGGTCCTTGCTTAGGGAAGCCCTCCAAGTGCTTATCCAGAAATATATGTTCATGAAATTCTGAGCCATCATCATCAAAACCTAGGAAATAAAGACCAAAAAGTTAAATTATAATTTAGAATTTAATATTAATGAGGTAACAGCATAGTTAGAGGCACTATTGTGAAAAGAGGTCTAAATTTGACCAACAAGGTGACTTTGAGCAAATGAATGTCTTTGGGCATCACTTTCTCCAGGCATAATATGAGGACTATGAGAACATCCTTCTGGGGTTTGTGGAGACTAAACAGACTGTGCCTGGAATGCAGCAAATCTTCCAAGTACAGAAACAACTGCTGCTCATGACTATTCTAACATCTAAAGAAACTATTAAGAGAGCTACACAATGTATACTTAAAAATAAAACAAGATAGAATCATAAAAAAGATGCTCAAGTAGCTCGAGAGAACAGAATACAGAGGAATGAGAAATAGAAAAAATGAAAACAACAAATGGGGACAGAGTTAAATTCTAACAAATCAACAATTACCTTTCACTTGAGTTTTGTTTAGAGACAAATTCTCATGCAACCCAGGGCCTTCTGATCCTCCATCTTGAAAGTGCTGAGATTACAGGTATGTACCACAATACCCAGCTCAACAATTACTTTAAATGTAAAAGATCTAAATATCCCACAAGTCAGAGGTTGGTATAGTAAATATAAAAATATGATCTAGGACTGGGATGATGGCTCAGTGGGTAAAATGCTTGCCACACAAGCCTGGGAACTTGAGTTGATCCTCAGAACTCATATAAAAAAGCTGGATGCAACAGTGTAAGCTTCTGTAATCCTAGTGTGGCTTCTACCAAGAAATGAGGGTGAGGACATGAGAGTTGCTGGAAGCTCCTGGGCCAACTGCCTTGGTCTACACAGCAGTGAAGAAGAGGCCCATCCTCAAACAAGATGGAAAACAAGAAGCAATACCCAAGGTTGCCCTCTGGCCTCCATATGTGCAACCCCAACACACACACACACACGCATACACGCACATACACATGCACCCACACAGGCACATGCACACACTTGCAAAAGAACCCTTAGCAGTTATTTAATCCAAAGCTTTAATGGAGGAAGGGACTGAAAGGGAGGCCAAGGGTAGCCATGGTCTCTGAACCCCCACCACGTTCCCAGGTTGATGCTCTCTCCACAGCAGTGAAGAAGAGGCCCATCCTCAAACAAGATGGAAAACAAGAAGCACTACCCAAGGTTGCCCTCTGGCCTCCATATGTGCAACCCCAACACACACACACACACACGCATACACGCACATACACATGCACCCCATATATACACATAAAAACAACAATGTGATCCAAGTATATGTTGTCTATACAAATTTACATCAAACACCACATAGTGGACTGAAACCAAAAAAAACAGAGAAATATATATCTTGATAACATTAACTTTAAAAAAGAAGGAATGGAAAAGACAGGTAGATCACTGCGAGATCAAGGCCAGCCTGGTCTACATAGCGAGTTCCAGGTGAGTTCCAGGCCAACTGGGATACAGGGAGACCCTGTCTCAAAAAACAAAGCAGAGAGAAGGAAAGACACACAGAGAGAGACAGACAGGCAGGCAGACAGACAGACAAAGAGAGACAGAGACAGAGACAGAGAGACAGAAAGACAGAGAATCCATAATTATAGCCGGAGATTTCAATACTATGCCATCAGCAACTGATAAAATTACTAGGAAGAAAACAAGCAGATATAGGTGAACTGAACACTAAGCAGAAGAACAAAACTATTGGCTATGGACCTATTTTATCAAGTGCCACAGAATACAAATTCTTTTCAGGTACCAAAAAAAGTCACCAAACCACATTCTGATTCACAAAACAAATGATGAATATGACGGATGGATGGATGGATGGATGGACGGACGGATGGATGGATGGATACTAGAGATCAAACAAGCTGAGGGTCTTGAGCAAACACTTAAAATAACTAAGCAAAACACAATGTGTCCAACTATGATGGCATCAAGATGAAAATCAAACAGAAAGATGGGAAATCTTCAAACAGTTGAATTAAACAATGTATTTATAAGCAAGCAAAAGGAATTTTTAAAAATACATAGAACTGAACAAAAATGAAAGAACAACAAATCAAAACTTGCAGTTCTGGAAAGGGAACATACAGATCTACTAATAAGCCAGAAAGAATATAGAACTAAGGGCACACACTGGAAGAGGAAAGGTGCCAAATTATGATCTAAGCTCCCATTCAAGACTGGTGAAAGAAGAAAAGAGGAAACAAAAAGCCACTCAAGTGTGAAAAGCAACTTACTTCAGTGGCAAAACAATAAAGCTTAATTTGTTACATAATGGGAAAACACAACAGTAGGAAGCAAATGTAAACAGCAGGACGCCATTCTGTCCTTTTCAGTACTGTGCTCTAAAACAGTACTGAAGGGAGCCACTGAAAATGAAAACAAAACATCCTCTGCCATCGGCATGAAAGCAAATGTTCAAGAAGTAGGGAAGGATGACTTTTCATTCATCTTCAAATTTAAGTCTGAGAAACATAAGAGTCATCAAACCCTTAAGTTACAATACCAAGTTCTCAAAGTGCTCAGCAGTTTCTAGTGTGTTCTGAGAGCAGCAAGCATGGTGAGTTGCCATAGTTCCTCTCCTAGTCTCCTTCGGACAACTGCCTTGAGGTGGAAATGAGATGCCTTCCTCTCCAGCCCTGACCCATCAATAGCATCTATGGATAGGAAGACACTTGTCATATTAATCTTCCTAACCTGACCTTAAAACACGTCCTTCCACACTGCTGCTGTAGAACCTGGGGCGACCATGTTCTGCTTGTTCCTGACAGGAATCCTGGAGAAGGTACTATTATCCTCACCATTTTACAGATGAGGGAAATAAGGTTTGGGGATAGCAAACTTGAACTCTTAACCACTATGCTGCTCGTCTCTCCTGAATAGTCACTTTATTTTATTCTTTAATACTGGGTTTTAAAATCAAGATTTTAAACATGAGGACTTGGAAAAGTTCATTCAAATAATGAAACCCAAAGATGTTCTAAGACTAAAAGAAATCTTTCCTTAATAGCACACGTTGTATTTTCTTCAGTTTTTTTTTTTTTTTTTTTTTCCTTTAAAATTCTATGCTCTAGGCCAGCAAGATAGTTCAGCAGGTAAAAGCATCTGCTGGCAGTCCTGAGGACTTGAGTTCCAACCCTACGACCCACTTGGTGGAAGGAGAGAACCACTTCCACAAGTTGTCCTGTGACCTCCATATATAGTGCCAGCACACTCACACACATATGATAAAATAAATTTTAAAAAGCATAAAAACAATTAAAATAAAATTCTAGTATCCAGGAAGGAGAAAGATACCTTACATTTTGCAGATGAGGAAATGGAGGTTCAAAGAGTTCAATAATTTCCTCAAGGGTAAATAAGTAATAACTGACAGCTCGGACTTGTGCTCAGGTTTACACAACTGAAGTCTTTAGTCTTTTGTATCCTGCCCTGATACCTTCCACAATAAACACATCATAAAACCCTAAGAAATAACATTTGGTATAGAACAGGTGAAACAGAGTGCCATGTTACTGCATATACCAGATAAATATTGAAAACAGTATTACTAAAGAATTTCTAAGTTTCTGAAGTTTGCTTATAGAAAGCAGCACTATAAAGATATAAGGCTAAAGCCAAACACAGTGGCTCATGCCATAATTCCAGTACACAAGAGGCTGAGGCAGGAAGGCTACCACAAGTTAAAGGCCAGCATGAGCTACACAATTCAATAGCAGCCTGAGCTATACAGCAAGATTCTATCTCAAAAAAATCTAAAAATCTAAACACACACACACACATAAATGTATGTGTGTGTGTGTGTGTGTGTGTGTGTGTGTGTGTGTGTGTGTGTGTATTTATGACTAAATATTGGGTCAAGAAGTATGGTAGTAGTACGGTGCCTGCTCAACATGTACAAAATGCCAGGTTCAATCCCTAGCAATATAACAAAAAGAAAAGGAATAAGTATTTCTGATGCTTAAGCTTTCACTGCATTTCTAAATCCAAACAAATGAAATGTTGTCAAAATTTAAGATATTACAATGATACTATAGCACCACTATGGTAAAGAAAAAAAGACTACATTTCTTAGGTGGGGCATGACAGTATACACCTGAAATCTCAGCATTTGATAGCTGAAGACAGGAGGGTCAGGAATTCAAGGCCGGCCTCTTAGCTATATAGTACGTCCAAGACCAACCAGCCTTTACAATTTCTAGCTAAGGTTACTATAAAAGTAAACAGATCCTTTAATTAAAAGTCCATCTGGAAAATTCAGGGAGAATGTTTAATACCTTACAGCAAGGGTTCTATTACAAAAATCAACAGCATACCTACTACTGTTTTTTCTTTGTTTTTTAATGTGTATTCATATTTGTGTCTGGGTGCATGAGAAGGCCAGAGGACAATCTCAGGTGTCATTCTCAAAAATTCTATCAGCTCCTTTGAGCCCTGTCTTTCACTGGCCTGCAGATTACAGATTAGGCTAGACTGGCTGGCCACTGAGCACCAGGGAGCCTCCTGTCTTCAGCTGCCCAGCACTGGGATTACAAAGCCAACCATGCCAGGCGTTTTTACATGGGTTCTAACCTTGCAAGCATAAGGATAGAACTCAGGTCCTTATGCTTGCAAGGCAAGCACTTTACCAACTGGGCCATCCCAGGCCCCTTGTTTTCTTTTTGATTAAGGAAAGATTAGTATCTCTAGAAGAGATAATATTCCATTACCAGTTCAAAGCATCTACACAGGCAAATATTTCCAAAGTTGCCTAATGTTTTTGCTTTGGGTAATTAACACAATTAGCTTGAATTCCATTAATGCAACGCTTTCATGAAGCAAAGAGGTAGCATGTAGTTTTAAACGTTGTACTATTCGGGGCTGGAGTTATGCTCAGCCGTTATACAGCACTAGCTGCTCTTGCAGAGGACCTAGCACCCACATGATGGCTAACAATCATCTGTAACTCCAGTTCCACGGGAATCTGACACCCTCTTCTGACCTCTGTGGGCACCGCACAATATGGGTACACTCTCATACATGCTGGCAATACACTCATACACATAAAATAAAAAATAATACTTTTTAAAAGTTGTAATATTCTCCAAAACTCATATACACTACTCAATTAGTATGAGATTATAAGCAAATAGAAAACTGTCATCATTTGTAATTTTTAATCCCTTTTTGTCAAAATATCCATGGTATTTTCTTTTTGACAAAGTCTTGCCATATGGCTCACACTGTAATTACAGGTATTCACCACCACGTCTGGTGTAATAATACATGCTTTTCGTTTTTTAAAATGTTTTATGTGTGTGAGGTATATACACGTGCATACGCAAGTTTACATGTGTGGGAATGCACATTTCTATGCATGTGAGTGGAGGTACATGGCTGATATAGGGAGTTTTCCTCAGTTCCTCTCTACCTTATTCACTGATGCTGGGTCTCTCAATTGAATCCAGAGCTCACTGATATGGCTAGTCTAGCTAGCTAGTTTGTTCTGCAGATCCCATGCTTCCCAAAAGCTTGAATTACATGCCCACCAGACATTTACCTGGATGTTGGAGACACAAAGTGGACACTTTGACCTCTGAGCTATTTCCCCAGCATCTTTTTAATTTTCTAGGAGGCAAGCCTCATGCAGCTCAAGCTGGCCTCAAACACTCCACATAGCTGACAATGATCTTGAACTTCTGATCCTCCTGTCTCTGCCTCCCAAGTGTGGGATTACAATGAGCATCATCATACCCAATTTTTGTGGTCCTGGGGATTCAACCCAATTCATGTGTGCTAGGCAATCATTCTACCGACTAAGCTACATTCCAGTCCTCATGATGCATCTTTGACATACAATTTTACTCCTTTATTTCATTATCAAATATCTAGAATTGAATAAAGTTCTAACAGTATTTATAATAACAAGAGTTATAATATACACAAATATATACATAATATAAAGTAAAAATAATTTAAAATAATATTGTCAGATTTCTTCTAGGACACCATGAGGACGTCTACAATGTTTTGAGATTCACATACATATTTCCACTCTAAAACATCTTCCAGAAATAATCTCTATCAATGAACAGCATAAGCCTCTAATACTTACTTGCTTCATTGTTAAGTGGGAACTCCCACAGTTTCCCCTCCTTTGTCCACTGGATCATCTCCTCAAAGCCATTTTCAATGGGCTGTTCATTAACAGTGGCTAATTGCTTAGCAAATTCTATCTCCCAGAGAGAAGGTGATACTGCTGTGTGATTAAAAGCTTCAGTAAGTACAAGGCAATGTAAACATCTTCTTTAAAATGTTATTACTAGCGGTCTCAGTGGGTTGAGGGACAATGATCTGAGTTCAATCCCCAGGGTTCCACATGGTAGAAAGAGAGAACCAACTCCGAGTTGTCTCTCCTCTCCACCTGCACACCCTGGCACACCAACATACATATACACACAAAAATTAGTTAATAAAAATGTAATAAAAATTAATTTTAAAGTGTTATCAACTCTGAATCGATACATACTGTCAGTCCTTAATACTCAGAATTAAACAGTTAATAATGAAAGGCCACTGACAGCTAAAATTGCAACACAAATGATAGATATAGGCATTAAGAATAGTAATGGGAAACCATAGCCTCATTTTGTTGCTGGGGCCTCATGTAAGGGTCTATCACTGAACTATACCCCTGGCCTAGGAATAAAACTTTTTATTTTAAAAACTGAGCTAACTTGTAGTGACTTTTTAAAAAACAGTTTTTCATTTATTTATTTATTTTTAAAGTTTTGTTTTTTAAAGGTCTATTCTGTACCTCCTACAGGGTAGTGATTTAACACAGGCTTAGTCTCTGTATCTTTCTTTTTTTCCCCTAATTTTTCTTTTGTGTTGTTGATTCATGCTCTTAATGGATATACGCACATGCATGTGCAGATGCATGTACACATGTGTATGCCAATGCGTGTGGAGGCTGGGAATGAGGAGATAGCTCAATCAAGTGTGTGACCCCAGCATCTTCATAAAATGAGGCATGGTGGGGATGTAGATGAAGACAAGTAGAGCCCTGGAGCTCATTGGCCGCCAGTCTAGTGAAATTGATGAGCTCCAGGTTCAGTGAGAGGTGCTGGCTTGAAAAATAAGGTGGGGAGAGGTTGAGGAAGACAGCTCACTCAATCTCGCCGGCCTCTACATGCATGGCATACACACGTGTACATGCACCTGCACTGTTTTTAAAAAGTCACTAAAAATTTGCTGAATGCATATGGCCTCAGTATTCTCTTCCTATCTCTTAAACAATCACCGTCATAAATTGGCTTCTTCTCTAAATGTTCTCTCCTCTTCTAGCAGTAAGCTGCCCAAAAGCAGGAATCGCAGATTGTTTACCTTTATGGAAGAGCAGCTACACTGTAAATATTAGGTGATCAGTAGTTTTTAACCTAAATTAGCAGTCAATCCACACCTCTGATTATTCATCCGGTACTACTGATCTCATGATCCCAGAGAATGTAACATTTAAGGGAGAAGCATGACCCAAACTACCAATAGCAACACTTTATCCATAAGCAAGGTCCAGGCCAATGACAGGATGAAACAGGAAAATGAAAATGCCCAACTACTATGTAGTCAAAACACCAAGACCATCTTTGAAAGGGAGAATGCTTCTCCACTTGGAAACGGTGTTAGTCTTTTTGGTTGTTTATTTATTTATTTATTTATTTTTTTGAGACAGTCTCCCTGTAGCCCCAGCTGGCCTGAACTTGCTATGTAGACTAGGCTGGCCTCAACCTCACAGAGATCTGCCTGCCTCAGCCTCCCCAGAGTTGGGATTAAAAGAATGTGCCGCCATGCCGGGCTTTGTGTTATTCTTTTCTTAACAAACCTGGTTCAGGTGCTTCATCAGTGAATGACTTTATGTCAAAAATATTAAGTCTTTTCCCCTTGAATATATTTTTCCTAAGATAAAAGAAAATTTTAAAAACTCTTAGTAACATATACAAACTGTCAACAAAATTTACATGAAACATTCTATGTGGTAATTGAAGATAATCACATTGACTCATGCCAGACATTTTAGCTAAACTGCCATGATTTTAGGACTCATTACTAAAAAGGGAACATATGCCCTTAAATTTTTGCTTCACAATACATCAAATTAGCAAAACATTTAATTTTCAGAATACCCAACTGAAAGTCCTAGAATTCCATAAGTGCAAAGTTTAATTACAAACTATAATGATAAAAGAATGTAGCTTCAAGTGGTTGTGCACACCTTTAATCCCAGTATTCAGGAGGCAGAGGCAAGCATATCTCTGTAAGATCAAGGCTAGCCTGGTCTACAGAGTGAGTTACAGGTCCATTGGGGCTAGAGGGAGACCCTGTCTCAAAACAAAAGCAAAACCAAAAATGAAACAAAACAAAAAATAATACACAGATAAAACATTCTATTTCAAAGTAATCATTCTGCAATTTAAAAGTAATTATTAATTTTATTTATTTTACATCACTATTTTTAATGAACTGTGAAATTAGTGTCAGAGAGTTAATAGGCAACTTTTTCTGGCATACTTTAATTAACTGAGTGATAGGTAGTCAACTTGACACAACTCAGAATCACCCAGGAAGTCTCAATGAGGGATAGTCTAGATCTGGTTGGCCAGTGGTCATGTCTCTGGGGGACTACCTCAGTTGATGTGGGAAGACCAAGTCTGAAAGTGGGTAGCACCATTCTGCAGGTAGGCAACTGTGGACTGTGTAGTGCAGGGAGGAGCCTGAGCACTAGAAGCATGAGTTTTTCATTTTTCTCTCTGCTCTTGACTGTGGCTGTGAAGTGACTGGCTGCTTCAAGTTCCTGTCTTCACTTCCCTGCAATGACAGGCTCTACCCAGGAATTGTGATCTAAAGTAAACCTTTTCCTCCAATTTGCTCTTTGTCATGGTATTTTATTACCACAACAAAATGAAATTAGAACAAACGGCTCTAGACAACAATTCACTTCTTTTTTCAACAGAAAGAAAGCTTCTTTTTTTCAATTCACTTACACTTGAATAAAACTACTGGTAGATTAAAAACCAGTTTATGGGGCTGGAGAGATGGTTCAGCAGTTAAGAGCCCTGATTGCTCTTGCAGAGGAACCAGGTTCACTTCCCAGCACCCACATGGTAGCTAATACCCATCCATAACTACAGTTCTAGGGGATCTTAACACCTTCTCTGACCTCCGAGGACATTGCACGACATAGGTGTACTTACATACATACACTCATACACATAAAAAATATAAATAAAATATTAAAAAAATAAAAGTAAATAGAAGCCAGTTTATAAATTATAGGATTAGTTTTAAAAATAATTTTAAATTCTTTTTTACTGGATCAAATTACTTTTCTTTACTAAAGTGGAACAAATGGTATATTAAAAGGAATCAAAGGGACTTCAAATCATTAACTGCTCCTTTAGTAGGTTCTCATGTATTTGTAAACAGTGGCCTTTCTAGTCAAGTGCGATAGTGCACTGCAGTAATCCCAACACTCAGGAGGTAGAGGCAGGAGGATCTAAGTTCCAGATCCTGGCCTAGCTAACCTGACCTATATATACATAGAAGACTTTGTATCCCCAAAACAATAACTCAAGGTTGCTGGATTAACGGTGTGAGCCATCATGCCTGCCTTTATTAATAAAGTGACTGTATTTATGTACGCAAAGGGCACATAAATGTTCAGTGCTTAGAAACACTCAAAATGAAAAATAATGCTTCTTATAGAACATTCACTTGTTCAGAATGTGGTCAGTCCCACTAACTCTGATCCCTATTCAGTGTGGGTGATGTGAGTCAGACTCACTTTGATTCATAGTATAAAAGTAGCATTGCTAAACCGAGAACTTTCCCTTCTCAGGAACTGGCACACAGAGGTAAGAGGAGAGGTGTAAAGACATCCACAATGCTCAAGTACCTATCAGCAATGATCTGCAAAGGAATAGTTAGTCCATTGTTGGAGCAAAAACAAACCACACAAACAAAATCCAGCAGACTACAAAGAATGAATACCCTTTTCTACGATCAGTTGTCTTCTCCTTGTCAAGAAGATTGTCCGATTCTTCATCAAACTGAATCTGATGCTCTGGCCTTCTACTAACTCTAGTAGAAGAGGGTTTGGCAATCTTCATATCTGATATTATGTTACTGAAACTGAAAAAAAAAGTTCAAGTACATTAAAAATCTTAGCTGTCTAGAGTAGTAAACTTTTCTTACTAGGAGACATATCATTTAATTCTTATTTTACTTTTATGCCTTAACGGAATATAAAAATTTATGAGTAAGTTTAAAAAGTCACATGCTCACACTTCTATGTCATAGACATTGGACCTCCTTCTACCTTTAAATATACTCTTCAGAAATCTTCATTTGAAACATGAAAGTATCAATTACAAAAATGACTAGTATTCAGAGAACTTGATAAAAAAGACAATCAACTAACTACCTGTGTACTTACTACCTACATTAAATACCTACATTAAAACTGAAAATGAGCTATATCTGCTGCCTTATAGTTAAAGGCAAATAGGATGAATCATGTGATTGACAGTCTAGATATACATACACCCTTCCCTTCCTGAGGTAATGCCTCCACGTGCTCACTGAGAATAGCTGATTCACATCATTCCCGAGAGTGAAGCAGGGCTATCATTTATGGCCTTCAGGCAGCAAGTAGCAAAACTAGGCATCAAGTACAAACAATGAAAAAGATATGTGAAGGCTGGACAGAGGGCTCCACGAGCATTTGCTGCTCCTAAAGAGGAATGGATTTCTAGCACCTACATGATGGCTCACAAACACCTGTAACTCCAGTTCCAGAGGATCTGACACCCTCTTCTGATCTCTGAGGGCACCAGGCATGCATGTGGTATACTTACTACATGCAGCCAAAACACTCAAACACATAAAAAAATAAAAATAGATTAAAAAAAAAAGAAAGGATCTGTTGAAAAGAGTTCAGTTCAAACATAAGGAGAAGAAAAAGGAGAGGAAACATGTCTGACAATTATCAAAGTGTACAAAACCAGCAGATTACTTAACAGAAACTATCTCATTGATTTGATTTTTTTATCTTTTTAAATAACATTAATGAATTTATAATTTATCTGTCAGGGGCAAAACATTTTGTAACTTCCTAAAAGGAAAGTTTAATCAATTAAAAAAAGGTGAGTCAGAGAGATGGCTCCAAGGGTAAGAGATGCTGCTCTTCCAAAGTACCAGTTTTGTTCCCAACATCCATGTTAGCTGGCTCACAACTGTCAGTAATTCTAGCTACAGGGGATTTTATGCCCTCTTCTAGTCTCTGTGGGCACACACAAACACCAACACACACACACACACACACACACACAAATAAAAATAAATCTTTTAAATAAATGATGGCTATTATGAGGTAAATTGTTAAAAATATATTATTATTGTGTGTTGTATATGTGTGTAGGCACATGCATGACAGCACACATGTAGAGGTCAGAGGAGAACTTATGAGTCAGTTCTCTCCTTCAATCATTAGGGTTCTTGGGATGGGAACTCAGGTCATCAGGCTTGGTAATAAGTGCCTTTACTACTTTACTACTGAGTTATCTTGCCAGTCCACAAGGATGATTTTATATGTAAAACGGGTACACGTACTACTCACAGCCACATGAAAATGGCTTATTTCATTACTGATGTAATGTCTGATTCACTTACCTAATTTTAGATTTCTCTCTCTCTTGCTGGGCCCTTGACTCTTCCTCATGTTGCTGGAGCTGCTTGAGCAGCTCTGACTTGGTTGTCTGTCTGTCAAAAGGTAAAGACTCTGCAACAGCAGATGCAGCTGCCACCAACTCAGGACTGAGGGGCTCATTTCTGGAACCGAAAATGAAAAGAAATAAGAAAGGAAAAATATGATTAGTTATTATGTCATGAGTTTAATGAAAAGTAAAATGATAAAGGAAGGAAAACTCAATCAAAAGTATTCACTTTCTGACAAAAGCAAGAAACTCTCAAATATTAGACACTGTTTTCTTGGTGGTGATAGTGTTTTGTTGTTGTTTGAGACAGGGTCTCACTGTGTAGTCTAGGCTGGCCTGTAACTCACAATCTCCTACCTCAGCCACCCAACTGCATTTGATAACCTGAGTTGGAGACCCAGGTAAAGGTTTTTTAAGCAGTTGCTGTAATTTAAAAATAAACAAAACAAGCATTGATGTGAACTGAGTTAAGGATGGCAGTGTTCAATATGACTTGAATGCAGGTCTTTTTCCATGAGCCCCACCCTCTAACGGAGGAACTATTGATAGCTGATGGTTGCTAGGGAAAAGAGAGCAGTTTTCCTTAAGGGCGTGACCCCACCCATGAGCACATGGGCAGCACAAACTGGACTTGGTGGGGTATAGGATGGAAGTTGGGGTAGCTATGGGAGGAGTGGGGTAGAGGAGTAGGAGATGAATATGATCAAAATACATTGTACGCATGTGTAAAAATCTCAAAGAACCAATAAAAATAGATTAAGAATTATAATCCTGGGGCCAGGTGTAGCAGTGCATGCCTTTAATTTCAGCACTCAGCAGGAGGCAGAGGCAGGTGGATCTCTGTGATCTATGTGACTTTCAGAGGAAGGTGGATCTCTGTGTTCTACATAGTGAGTTCCAGCCCAGGTGGAACAGAGACTCTATCACACACACAAAAAAAAACCCACAAAAAACAAAAATTACCTTACTGAAGGCCAGGCATGATGATACACACCTTTCACACCTTTAATCTCAGCACTTAGGAGGCACAGGCAGGTGGATTTCTCTGAACTGGAGGACACCTGGTCTACATACTGAGTTCCAGGTCAGCCAGGGGTACACAATGAAACCCTGTCTCAAAAGCAAACAAACAAATAAAAAAAGAATTACCTTATTATCTCTCAGAGGGTTTGACTCATTTTCGGGCAGTCTATAGTTAATTAAAATACACATTTATAATAAACAACAGGTCATAAACATATCTATGAGGTTTTTATTTTAACCACTTCTTTTTTTCCTTTTGAGAGGAAGTCTCCCTTTGTAGGCCAAGCTGGCCTAGTACTTACAATCTTGCAATCTACATGTCTCAACCTACTGAGTGCTGGGATTACAGATATGTACCATCATGCCTAGATAAAAAGTAATCCTTGATAAGTTTTTACATACGCTTTATTTTATTTTTGTTATTTGTTTCTTTGAGACAAGGTCTCCTATATAACTTGGCCTAGAATTTAACTATGTAGCCCAGGCTGGCCACAAACTCACAATGTTCTTGCTTCTGCCTCCCAAGTGTTGGGATTACAGATATGTGCCACCACACCCAGCTACAAATATCCATTTATCCTTTAAATATAAAACAATAACATTCTAAAGTAATTATTAGAATTCCTGTTACTATGAGACTTATTCATTATTTCAGTGTCTCAAGTTCTCTAATTAAACATATTGTTTACTTAAAGAAAAAGCTTATTAGTTTCAAAGAACATTCAAATTGGAATTCAAGTTACCCCTTCTTTGGAGCATCTTCTGTAGCTCTTTGAAGCCCATCAATCTTAGTCTCCAAACTTCTATGAGGTTTTCTGTGAGATGGCTTTGTTTGTACAGTTGCTGTGCTTGATTCAACTTTCATGCCCTTAATAATGTCTAGCAGGCCTTTTTTCATAGTCTCCTTTTCTCTGCCTGGGCTCTCTAAAGTCTTCTTGGAAATCTCACTGGCTGGAACAGACCGCTTATCTTTCTTGTTATAGATCACGCTGCTAATGCCAAAATACCTTTGGATATTATTTTCTGTCCTGAAAAGACATAGTAAGGAGGAAAGAGAGAGAGCAGTACAATGCAAGATAATAAAGTAACTGAAAAATCTGCTTCTGCATTTAAAAGCATTTTCAATTCAAGCTCTTCCACTTTCTTTTGATTTTCATTATTAACATCATAAGAGGAGCAATTTATCATGTATTAGTATATACTACGGGCCTAGCCTGTGCAACACAATTTATTCAATTCTCCTAACCACTTCAACTCCATAAGGTAGGCGTTATCCTCATCTTGCAGATAAGGAAATTTAAAAAACAATCACACAGTAACCTATCCAAGGTCACTTAGCTCAGAGTTCCTTAAGGCAAAAGCCACACTGGTATGCCACATATGTGTACAGGTGTGCTAAGACTCTGATCACCTGGCCCTTGCAATGACCAGGTGGGGCCTAGGACTGTTGGTACTCCCAAGTCTGTTGCTTCTCTCCATGGATCCCAGGGTTCAGTAAAACATCACTTTCTACACATTTCATGATATGAAAAGTTGAGAAACACTGACATGGTTAACAAATGATAATTTATTATTCTCATATCCAAACAGATAGACTGCCAAGTTCTTGCTCTTAACATGACATAGTACCTCTTTAAAGTGCCATAATTAAGCAAAGTGAAAATAATCAATTTCTATTAATGAAAGGATCACTTACAAAAATTTCTAAGCGTTATTCATTTTCTCACAGAAGTCATGCCATTTAGTCAACTACTATTTGTAATGTTAAAAGGAAAATTCCTTAAATCAATTAAATTTAGTAGTTTGAGAAATGCAGAGCAAAACTAAACCCATGTGCAAACTGATCAGCTCCCAGAACAGAGCAGCAGAGCAGGCTCGGAGAACTTCAACCAACAAGATGATGAGACAAATTTAAGAAAAAAAAAAAAAAAGGAAGTGAGACACAGGAAAATAACTTAACTGGCTTGCCAATCAAGCGCTTATAGCTAACTAGCTAACTGACTACAGTCCTCCCTACCACACAGAGCTCAGTTACTATGATTAAGCTCTATATTGGCTTGCTTTCTCTATTGGCAGGACCACTGCAAATGCTTAGTCCAATTCCATGGTCCTGAAAAGTTTATTTAACAGTAATCTAAGCTAAGTGGAACAGAAAAGAGAATTTGAAGCTGTCATTCTGCTCTCTTCTTTAGACATGCTTATGAAAAGAATGTATCTATTTCCATCCCATGTAAAAAGTGTTTGAGAGAGAGACAGAGAGAGAGCAAGAGAGAGACAGAGAGAGACAGAGAGGGATGGAGGGAGAGAGAGGGATGGAGTGAGAAAGAAAACTGTAGGGGTAAAACTCAGGGTTTCATATATATTTCCTACTTTAAAATAATCCAAATACCTAATTTTTAGAGGGTCTGGAGAGATGGCTCAGCGATTAAGAGCACTGGCTGCTTCCCAGCACCCACATGGTAGCTAACAACCTTTGTAACTGCAGTTTCACGGGATGTGATGCCCCTCTTCTGACCTCTGTGGGCACTGCATGACACGGGTATACTTACATACATGCAGGCACTTACATACACTCATATACATAAAAGAAAAGAAAACAAAAAACAATCTTTGGTATTTTCCATTGATCTTTCAAAACTAATGAATGTGTTGAAGGGGAGAGTGGGATGGACATGATCAAAATGCATTGTACACATCTATGAAAGTCTCAAACAATAAATAAAAATACTATAGTTTCAAAAACTAATTTATATGTTAGTTTCAGAAAACAAGTACAGTGCAGAACACCATTCATTAAATATAGCAGATTTTTATTCTGTGCTGGGCACTACGCTAAGCGCTGACAAGATATTAGTAAATACAAATGTCATAGTGAGGCAGAGCACTGAAAACGGATCTCAAGTCTGACTTGCTGTTTAGTCTCATCTGACCCTTGCTTTCCACAGTTATCAGATGAAATATGTTTTCTTTCATTACTGTGAGTTTGGAAGTCAGCAAAGGGGCCCTAGAGCAACCACTCCCTCTAATCTGCCCAGTGTATAAGGTCAGGATCTCCACACGGAGGGTGACAAGAATAGCCTGAGAAAATGATCTTTGCTCTTGAGATCTGCACAACTGAAAAGTATCTCTTGACTATGTGATCAGGATAAGGACCATAGATGTACATCATTTGGACACAAATTTTGTTCTTTGAGAAGCTGCCCAACAGTCTGTGATCATGTAATAGGCACTTATAACTGCTTTTGTTAAAAGGCTTTGGACCCATAAGGAAGCCAAAAACAATAAATGCTTTTTATTATTGAGATCTCCCACTACCAGTGAAGAACCTAGGACCTCATATATGCAGGCCAAGTGTTCTACCACTGGGCTACATCCCCCAGCAGTCCTTTACAGAATCTTACTGTCACCTTTTATAGTGTCCTATTTTAGACCCCTACCCATCCCTGATATAAACAATACTTCTATAAATCAACTTCTGGGCAAGATGGACTCTGGACAAGAGTCCTCCATCTTCTCCATTTAGTTGTTTTTCGAATACAGCTTTGCTTCCAACATTTTATCTCTTGGCTGAATTGGCTTATCATGTAATGGGTACTTGGACTAGGGTCTAGTAACTGGTTCCTACCTTCACGAAGCTAATGGCTAGGATACTGCTTCTCAAATTTCGGTGTACACAGAACTATCTATGCTACTTCCTAAAATATGGACTGTTTGGTCCCACCATAAAATTCCGAATTAGTACTTAGTATCTTTGAGACTAAATATTTTGGATTTTCAACAAGTTCCCAAGTGATGCTGACATTACTAGTCAAAAGGCCTCATTTGAAAAACTATGTTACTAAATTCTTACAATATTACAAGACATTTTACAAAAGAAGGAATTGCTGCTCAAAGGGGTCTCATGCTTCTGAACTGCTACAGTGTATAGGAAATACATTCATGAGAATCTCAATTTTCATATTTGGAATGGGGCTTGAGGATTTGCACTTCAACTAATACCCAAGGTAATTCTGTTATGTTTTGATTCCTGCATTAGACCTTGGGTTAAATAATGTACCAAGTTGCCAAAGCTAGCAAATGGCAATTACAGACTAGGAACACTTAAATGAAAGAAAGATAACAATTTCCAAAAACTCTGAAACTATATGATTTGCTTATAAAAATACCAGTGGCTTACCTCATCAGTCACTTGAAAATTAGAATGAAAAAGAAATTACAAAACTAATATCATTATAAGCAACCAAAGATCTTTCATAATATCATATGATACAATTCAAGTTAGGACAATGCTCTAATCATTATTTTACATCTGAACATTAATATTAAAGGCATTTTAACCGAAAGGTGAAAATCAGAAATAAGCCACATATAACCTTTATTGCAATGTTTCCTTCCAAGAGTGCTATAGGACTTCAGAAAATAATCTGTATTATCAGGAAATCATGCAAGCACCCTCTGTCTTAGTCTCACTGAGGACAAGAAAAAAAATGCACCAGAAAAAAAAATGCATTAAACAAACCCTTAATCTTTAAAAAAAATTTAAATAACAAAACTCTAGTCTTAATGTCCCATCTGAGTTTGTTTCCTTTGGGGAATCTCATGGGCATTTGAAATGTAACACATGGGACCTGGAGAGAAGGCTCAGCAGTTGAGAGCACTGACAGGTCTTGCAGAGGACTTGGGTTCAATTCCCAGCACCCACAAAGGAGCTAACAACCACACATAATTCCAGTTCCAGGGATCCACATCCTCTTCTGACCTCTGTGAGCACTGCACAACACCAGTGCACTTAAACACAGAGAGACAATACACTCATATACATAAAATAAATAAATAATAAATAAAATACAAAATGTAACATATCCCAAATCACATTTAAGAACATTCCCTTAATTGGCTGGGTTTGTGAGTAGAAGAGCTCTTGCCTAGCAAGCAAGAAACTCTGGATTCAAATCTCCAGCACCAAACCCCAAACCCCACACCCCACATCTCTCCCCTCAAGAGACTGACTTTTCATTTTTCACTCTTAGTGAATGATTCTCCCACAGAAAAGTCAGTTTTGCATTCTAAAGAAGACTACATATTCAAAATCTTTCTTAAAGACGTTCTCATTCTTCTGTCAATTGACATCCCAAATCTTCCATGGCAGTTAGCTGAAATCTTTGGCCACTCTGCGACTATTCATATGTCACATTCTATGAACACTATCTTGTTCAGAGTCTCCTCCACCACTGAGCGGATCACTCCCATCTCCTTTTCCACTTGGACCAGCACTGTATTAAACCGAACAGGCGTGCACAGAAAGGGTACTCTGCGCCTCTCGTACAATGAATGGCTAGGCGCCCTATTTGCTCTCCTGTAGTTAGTTATTTGCTCAGTGAATGGGTGCACTCTGGGCTTACCTATGTTATCATTTATACTTGAATTACTTCCTTATACTGTCCCAAATGGCAGGAGTATTTTATTCAGGGCTTAACACTGGTAGCTGACATTCCGTAAGCACTTTCAACAATAAAGGAATCAAAGAAGGGAGTTATTAATGAAGTCATCAAAGAAGTCTCGGAAGGCATAGAATGAAACAAAGAAACCTCGCTCGCACGGGCGGATAGAGACAGAAGCGGCAGCAGGCAAGATGAGCAGGCGGGCAGCAGAAAAGCCCCGGAAAAACCAGACAGGTCGTCAGACACACACTGTGACCTTGGGCAAGTCATCTTGTGTTTCTAGGATGTCTCTTTCCTCTGATTTAAAACAACGGCTTTTAAGAGCCTGCGGTTATACTATCGACCCCAGGAAGCCGGAAAAACAACTGAACTGTACAGGAGGAGAATGGATTCCCGGAAGACCTCGGGGCCAACGACGCTGAAATGCCCTACCTGACAGTTCCGGTCAGAGCAGCGAATGGCATGCTCACAGCCCCCGAGGCCTCTCGGCTTCCGGAGGACAAAGAAAGACCCGAGAAAGGGCGAACAGGCAGGAACACCGAAACCCTGGGGAGCATGGCGGAGAAAATCAACGAAGAGCACAACACGAACTCTGTGTCCCTCGGCCAAGCATGTCCCCACCGCGATATTTCCGTTTTCCAGCCTAGCGTGTTCTCGCCTTTAGGATCCCGGTAGGCAACAGCGGTCAATAATAATGTTCCGGGATTGTCCTGGGCTGGCTAGAGCCGGCTGCTTCCAGACCTCCCTGCGATTCGAGTGGGAGTGAAATCCGAAGCAGAGCTCCGGAAGGCTGCAGGTCTGAGACAGTAAATGGGATGATCAATTGAACGAAACCTGTTGAGGCCAGTGGAGAGGCAGGAGAGCTGACCTTACTGCGAATCTGGGTTTGGGCGGGTTGTTTCCAGATCTTGGCCTCTTATCCAAAGAATTGCAAATAACGGGCTCACACAGATTTGCAAAAGAAGCAAGATAATTTTATTTGGAGCAAAGCATTAGTACAGATTAAAGACTATACTGTCAAGACTGACAGCAGGCCACACGAGTAAAGATACCTATGGGCTGGATGATTGTTCCGGGCTTCTTTTCGTGGATTCTAAGGGAAGGAGGGGCAGATTACTAAGGAGTATAGTTGGAGTCGGGGGAGATCTCTATTTTGATTGACGGATTGGTTTATATAATCATTTCTCTACTGTGCATGTCCTTTCTCAAAATGCATCTGATTTTAATTATATGTACAGCATATTATGAATAGGCATAGATGATAGAGGATTTTCCCTAAAACGTTACTAGAGGACACGGTTTTGCCTTACTGCATATGGACCTAAAACCAATTCAGACCACATTGACCTTTCCATTCTTCTTATCCAGATAAGGTGAGAATATACCTGAAAAGAAACAGTCTAAATTTGGTCATTACCAGAGGCAGAGAACTACAACATTGTTCAGAGATGGGAAAATGCGTAGCTTGATGTAGGTGGTGGATCGAAGGGTTCTGAGGTTGCTAGATGCATTCATTTATTATGTGTATGAGTGTTATGTCTGCGTGTATATTAATGCACCTATGTCCTACAGTGCCCACAGAGGTCAGAAGAGGGCACTGGATCAGCTGGAACTGGCATTACAGACAGTTGTTAAGCCACTATGTGGGTGCTGGAATTAAAACTTGGGTCCTCTGCAAGAACAGCCAGTGCTCTTAGCCAATGAGCCATCTCTCCAGTTCCTTAGGTGTATTTTTGGAGTGTTCACAGCAGTTGCAGGTGAAGAAATTAATCTGCCAAGTGCATTATTATGAGGGGGTGTATAGTATATGTTACCTGGTAAATTTAGTTTCTCTCTCTCTCTCTCTCTCTCTCTCTCTCTCTCTCTCTCTCTCTCTCTCTCTCTCATCTTTTTGAGACAGGGTCTCCCTGTAGCCCCAGCTGGCCTAGAACTTGCCATGTAAACTAGGATGGCCTGGATCTCACAGATATCTGCCTGCCTCTGCCTCCTGAGTGCTGGGATTAAAAGCATGCACCACTGTGCCTGACTCTAGTCTCTATTCTTGATATAGCAACAAACATAGGACCTATATTTCATCTCTAAAATGACTGTAAGAGTCATTGGGCATGGTGGCACATGCCCTTAATCCTAGCACTCAGGAGGCAGAGGCAGGTGAGTTCCAGGCTAGCTGGGGCTATAGGGATATATATATATATATATATATACTGTCTCTCTCCCTCTCTCTCCCTCTCTCTCTCTCATAAATGACTATAAGAAAAGCATGACGCTTATTCTTGGCCCTTGTGAAGGCTTGTGAACCGTGGCCCATAAGAAATGACTGGTTCCCAAACTCCATAGAGAGTGCAAGAGAGTAAACTTAAAGAGCAATGTTAGCTAGTGTGAACTGCTAGCCTGGAATTACATATTGGCAGACCAAAGGTAATGCCAATTTTTCCCTGTTCTCTCAGAAAAAAATCAAAACTGGGAAGTATATTTCCCAGTGATGATGAAAACTCAGATTACACTGAGCAGATCCACCAACCTTGACTGAACCTTTGTTACACACAGTGCGGAGATGAGGGTGACAGAGCTGTACTGTGGATGTCCTCCACCACCTCTAGACAGAAAAGATATATTTTTAGAGTCACTTTGTTATAAGTAGCCCAACACTGCCTTTACATAAGTACTCTCTACCTGAAGCCTTGTTTCATTTTCTGCATTTACTACTGTCTGAAACTGTCATATACTTATGTGCTTACATGCTTATTGTCTATTTTACAGAGACAGAATATGTGCTCCACGAAGCCTTGGTGTTTCTCTTAATTGCTGCTACAATCCTATTTTCTAGAATCATACATAGCATATCACAAATACTAAAAAACTATTCGGTGAATAAACTATTTTCAAGATGAATAAACGGTTTCAGAGAAGTCAAGTAATTTGCTCAACTTCACACATTTAGTGAATGGCATAGCCAGCTTCAAATTCAGGACCAGCTTCAAATTCAAACTCTGACATTCTTGTTTATTCTGGAATCTCTGAAGGTCTTTGACTTTAGTCACACAAAAGTTATGAGGAGAGGTGCCCGTTAGTACATATCACTGAGTAGCTCGCTTTAATTTAAAACATGTGAATATGAAAGTCTAACAAGTTGATTATGATATAGGTGAGCCTCAAAAAACTTTGAGAAACATGCCCTTGGCCTGATGATTTATTTTGCTATTCATAGCTCTGTATAGCCATAGGATACAGATACAAAAATGTTGAGGGCTAGTGGTTTAGCTCAGTCATAAATTACCTAGCATATATGAGGCCCTGGGATTGATCCCTAGCACTGCAAAAATGGAAGAAGGAGGACGATGAGGAGGGTTAAAATTGTTGTAAGTTCTAATCTATGACATCTCAAACACCTGAGCCAGACACATGAGGAGTACACACTGTGTGAGTCCACTTACATAACATTGCAAAGAAGATGGACCTGCAGGCACAGAATTCACATCATTTTCTACCAGGAGATGGGATGGAAGAAAGAGACTGACACTAAAGGGGCATGAAGGACTTTTGGGTTTTATTGAAATGCTCTCTCCTGACTCTGGTGGTGGTCAAAAGCCTTTTCACACTTATCAAAACTAATAAGTCTGGCCTAGATATATGGCTTATCAGGTAAAGGTGCCTTCAGGAACAAACCTGGTAGCCTGAGTTTGATCCCCAGAACTCGAAGTAGAAGAAAAGAACCAACTCCCAAAGAGTTGTTCTCTAATGTGGATCCATATGCATGCCCAGAGTTAACACACACACCACAAAATAATAAATAAAATAATTTCTAAAACTTAATCTAAATGCACAAGTGTCTTACTATTTATATTTTATTTCAATAAACCTGACTATAATTTTTTAAAAGGTTAATTGATGAGGATAGTTCTGTCTACCAATTAAACCACAAAGAAAACTTCAATAAATTCTAAAAGGATGAAAGTGTGTCCTTTAAAATGTTGTAACTTTTGGAACTATCCAGAGCAATCATTTAGACTTTTGAAGTCTGAGAGTGGAAGGCATTTTTCATCCTCTCACATCCCATTTTGATATTCATTCATCAGTCTTTTCCTCACAGTGCCTGGCTGAAATACCTTTCTAGAGATAATACACTCTTGAGCAGAGGTAGCAAATCAACTGACACCAGTCCTGATGTGATTCAATGCCTTTGTCCTAGATGGCTTGTGAAATTCTACATTTAACTCAACAATCCCTCCATGAAAATGAAAAACTAAATCATCCTATTATCAACTGCTGCGCAACAGACCTACCTCAAAACTTAGTGCCCTGCAGCATCAACTTATTATGCCTTTGGTTCTGAGGTTGATTGGGCTCAGCCAGGGACAGGGAAGTTCTTATTTGAGGTCCCTTATGAGGTCACAGTCTGATAGCAGGAAGCCTGGACTGGATATCCAACATTATGTCTTCACTCACATCTGATGCCCTCTCTGGAATAGCTAGGAGAAACAGGGTGGCTTGGCATATTCACCAGCCCTCTATGGCCTTTCTACCTGGTAATACTGGGCTTCCTCAAAGCCTTCAGCATGTTCAGAATTCTTACCACGTAGAAGTTATGCTTAGAGTAAGTATTCCATGAAGCCCAGGCTGAAGTTTCACAGCAATGAAAATCATGTGGCATCACTTCCCCTGCACTTGATGGTGCCCAGCCAAGTACACAGCTGGCCTAGATTCAAAGAGGGAGGAACTGCACTTCCCTTAGAGTACCAGCAGGAGTCGCACTGGGGAACCATTCCTGGATACTTGCTGCCACATCTCAAGCAACTGGATTAACTTCATTAGCTTTAGTCTATTGTGATAGCTGCTTTTTAAAATTTATAATCATTGTTGAGCTTTTAGAAAGTTCATATTCCAATTTATATGAAATTTTGTAAAGAACTTCCACATTATTAATTTCATCATCACGAGAACAATTGAAGTAGGCATGGTAAGGATTTTTATTCCCTATTTACATTAGTGAATCAGGATAGATGAGCCTCAGAGAAGTTAAATGAGTTCTGTGACCAGGAAGCATCAGCCTCAAAACATCATGACCCCTAAGCTGGGCCCCGGCCCGTTGGTTCTCACATTTCTTCAAAGGACCATGTTTGTGCTCCTTTGGACCCTTACAGGCTGAGAAGATAATGGGCTGAACTCACCTGACAACCACCAAGTGCTGTAGTCAGCAAAGTCTTGCTTCTAAGATTAGAGTGCTAAGACCAAGTAAGAAAGAGCACCATGGCTCATGCCTGGAATCCCAGCACTTGGGAGGCTGAGCTAGGAGGATTGTGAGTTTGAGGCCAGCCTGGGCTACTTAATGAGAACCTCTCTCAAAATGAGAGAGAGACAGAGACAGAGACACAGAGAGAGACAGAGAAGGAAACTAGCCACCTATCTACTTGAGAAATTTTTAATTAGAAAACATTTGAAATTAGGATTAAACCATCTAGAATGATGGGCTTGTATTATTGAAAGCTCCCTCACTCCCAGCAAAAACCATCAACAGTAGTAGAATACAGTATATAGATGGCATAAATCTTCACACTGCAAAGTAACTTTGTTTGTTTGTTTGCAACAGGCTCTCCCTGTAGCCCCAGCTGACTGGAACTTGCTGTGT